TGTTACTCCTATGGAAGATTAGAAGCCATTTTTTACTTGGATGGGTTTCCGCTGGATGATACGCAGCCTGGTAGAGCTATACACATCCACGAGCTTGGGGACCTCAGCAACGGCTGTGATGCTACAGGAGGACACTTTAACCCTTTCAGCGTGAACCACCCCCGCCACCCGGGGGATTTCGGCAACTTTTTTCCTAAAGAAGGCAAAATCAGAAAATACAAAACAAATCTCTTTGCCACTATGTTTGGTCCATATTCTATCATGGGCAGATCCATTGTGGTCCACGAGCAGGAAGATGACATGGGCAAGGGCAACAATAAGGCCAGTTTGGAGAATGGAAATGCTGGGAAACGCCTGGCTTGCTGTGTGATTGGGACATGCAACAAGAACTTGTGGGAAGAGAAACTGTCTGAGGTTACAGACAAGAAGAAGAGAGGGCTCAACAAACGAACACAGAACCAGCCATAGCTGAAGAGCAACAAGCTGGCTACAGCCTGGGCAGCACTAAGTACCTTAGGCTGTGCCATTGGCCAGGAAGATATACAGCTAAAGGATTTCCATTTCCACTTGCTTGTTCCTCTAAGAAATGCATATCGCTTTGTAGAGCCTCCTTTCTGTAAGCCCATCAATAAAACCAGCATCAACTCAACATTGTGATGTGTTTCCTTGAAGAGAAAAGATTCCCTTTTATGCAGTTTGGGAGTTGAATGCACGTAGGTAAGAGTGCTAATGGATGTGGTCCATAGTCTGTAACCAGTCTGTGCCCTGGAAGGGTCTCCAAAAGGACCGTAAGTTACATACCAAAGGGAAAAAATTGTTAATATGAGTAAGTGAGAAATTGCCTCTCATTAGATGCTATCCTGTATTTAGCTGCAAATCTGAAAGGTAAAAAATCTCTGAGCTTTCAACAGTGCTGGGTGTTGTGTTGCAAGATCTGGATAATGGACTTCCCCTAAAAATAAGGGAAAGTACAGACATTTGTTTTAAACTTCAGATCTATTACGTTATTCTACTTGAATTTTCAAGTTTTATTCTCAAGCATGTATAAGCTTCTTAACTATTTTAAATCACCCATATGGCTACAGTTAAGTCATCCTGTTTTAAGTCATACTGTTCAAACTTACAAGATATATTCCAGCACCAGCAAACATTCTCTACAGCCTCTAGTTTGTGCCTGTGAGTAACTAAGTTGTACATACAGGTTTTAATGCTGCTTAGACAATGATGATAAAGTTGGGAGATTAGAGATAAATATTATTTTCAAAAAATACTGAGTGTGTTTCTTCATATGAAAATGTAGGAAGTAAATCAGTCAATTTAGAGTTGGAGAAGTGACGGTGAAAAGATTTGAGTCAGATAATTTCCAGACTTAAAACTCTCACTCAATAAAGCTTTACTTTTTAAATTTAACACACTGAAAACGCTAAAACACTCCCTCATGACTGTCATTCATCTGATACTGAGTAGAGAAAAGGAAACAAGCAGGTAGAAAAAATGTTATCAGGAAATGTTTTTATTAAAGATGACAAAATGTATTAATATAGTTGAATCATGTGCTGCAGTTAATCCAGGCAGCAACAAAAGAGAAGTTTGCAAATAAATTAAGCTGCATAATTTAGAAAGTAAAACTACAAAACGGAAGCTGGTAAACAAAATCCTATCTTCTAGAAACGTAGCAGACTTTCAACTTAATCTCAGCTAAGATTTTGAAATACATTCCTGAGCTCATATGGATTAAAGAAATTCCACTGTCTTTATTACACAAATTCCCATATGCTTAAAAATAGTCTCACTTAGAAAAGAAGCAGCATTCTAAAAGATGCTTCTTAATCTGTCATTTTCACACATTATTTTACAAATTCAGTGAATGTTGTTTTTCAAATATCCACAACATTGTACTTTCAAATGAAATCCTTCTCACAGATAATGCACAAATTCACCTTTAGGTGAGAAAATCTCCTTAAAATCAGTTTGTGAAATGCATCTTCTCCACACCCCTGCCACAACACTCCAGAGCCCAATACCAACAAGGCTTCTATGACTGGAAGAACAAGGGAACCAAAACAAAAAACCAAACCCAAACCAACTCCCTCTGAAAAACTTAAAGCAGTGTTGATTTCACAACCCAGTGTTGATTCCTTTTTGATTCAACAGAACACTTACTATTTTTATGTGCAAAAAAAATCATTGTTCTAATAGCATAACAGTATCAATTACAGCAATATCCAAGGAAGATTCTGACAAGCACACTCAATTAGTTATCACATAGTGCAGCAAAGATGTCTTACATTTACAAGTCTCCTGGCTTTGAAGTCTTGTGTTCCTGGGAGAAGGCTAAAACCGTAGCTAGAATACACACTCAATAGGGCAGAAAGGAGAGGGACAGTATCCTAGCAGTGATATAAGCTTCAAGAGAACTAGATATCCCACTGGAATGTAATGATTTCAAATGGCATCTAAGTGGAAGATGTGTGTGAGGGTAATTACCAAGGTGTCCTAACAGTTGGGTTGTACATCACTATGTTCTCCCTGAAAAAACATATTAAAAGGTATCAACAGATGAGGCATCAGAAAGCTGTCACTCCAGCACTGATCCCACCTGCTCGAATTTTTGCACCGAGCTCTTCATTAATTAATAGCATCAAATGGTTGTTAACAGACCAGGAGCAAAAACTCCCACGAACGTGAGTCAGGAAAGACAAGGGACAGGGAAAAAATGTAACACCCTCAACGTTTCTGAGCTCAGCTACCTGGATTCCTGACCTTCTTATTTGCTTGCCTCAGTTCTGACTGCATTGATATTTAGCTCTGCGCAGGATTAGTCTGTGAAAGATGGAAAATAATACATCTTGAATAAAATGCTACTTCGTGTGACATTCAGGCATTAAAGGAAAAAAATCCTGCCACATTCTCCTGGAGATTTGAGTTTCTGCAGCTATTTCTCTTCTGACTTGTCAGTACTGTCATATAAATGAGTCAATAATGCAGTCACTCACAATTAATGAGAACATCAGAACAATTTTTCAAATACTTAAACTCTTCTTGGTTTTTCTGGTGATGAGGAACTTAAATGGTGATCAGGACAATGAAAGAAAAACTTTTTACTGCCTCATATCCCTGATATGCTTAAATATAGTCAATTTTTGTTCTTAGGGGCTGCTGCTCAGTATCAACTGCAATGCTGCAATGTCAAATTACCTTTAAAGAGAAAGAAAACACATCTGAGGAGTGCTGTGAGTACAGCTTTGCTGCCTGCAGACAGACTCTGAAAGGGTTACACGAATGCACCTGCTAGGGAAAACACATGAGAACAGAGACAAGCCACATTTTTCACCTTCCTGCTATCGTTCCTTATATTTATATGTAATAATTTACATCCA